ACATTATTGCATTGTGATTGCTTGTTAGTATATGTATTTAAACATAATTGCTCTAGATATTGTTTTAATAGAAACAATAGAAAATACTGTATATGTAGGAAGTGATGTGTTCTCGGAGATGATATTGGACTTCCCTCCAGGTTATGGATGCTGTGTCTGTTGTTGAATTGAAGTCCGAGAAATGCCCGAGAGTTTGTGGTGCAGATATACTTGAACTTCTTGCCCAGAAGAGAAGTCGCAGTGGACGAGCAAAAGTTCTAGTAGTTGATGTTCGCACATCGGAAGAGTATCCTTTTATAACTATAGATTATTGTTATTATTTCTTTTTTTCTTTTTTATTAGATTGTAAGGTTATGTCAGATGAATATTAAGATTTTTTGTTTGCACTTCAGAAACTATTAATTTTCATAGTTCTTCATTTGCTTACATTAGATATTTATTTTCCATTCTGTTGCAGAAAAAAATCCTTGTTCATTTTGTTGCTGAAAATATTATCCTTAATTAGATAATTCAGATATGCTAGAGGAACCTTATCGGAAGCCATAAATCTGCCTGCCGAGTCTTCATTAACGCCAGAAAATTTACTCGCTTCCGGCCCTCAAACCGATGTACTGAATTCCTATCGTGGTAAAATAATCGTGGTCATGGGATCGCGCAATAATAGGGAGCAGGTAAATAAGGTAAGGCAAAAACTCATCCGTTTATGGAATGTTTTGTATCTTTAAGAATCTGAAAGTTCCTGTGAAGTGTGTCTAGAAAGATGGACGCTTAGGATGTACACTGTAAACCAGGCGTTAAATCATTCATTAAATAAAATTTTCTTTACTTGCTTCTTATTTTGATATATCTTTGCGCCAATATACATTATTATGATTATGACAGACTTCCTTTGTTTTTCTAGTTCGCAGAGAGTCTGCTAGCACAGGAATTCCCCCGTGTATGTACTCTGCACAAGGGAGTGGAGGTGTTCCGAGCATCAGGAGCACTAATGGTTCCATCGTAAGGCTCTGCTGGATAGATGATATGATTGCTGGTTATATATGACAATATTTTAAAATATTATAATCTATTTAAATATTCTTTATATGTATTGTATATTATTTATGAATAAATGAGAAATGTCAGTGCCGGGGAACAATAACCTTCAATGACTCAGGTGTAATGATGGTTGATACTCTTCTCTCATCCTCTGATGTTACATTTATTGTGCAGGCAAAATTTCAGTGTGCATTATGATGATTTACTTATTTATGTGGCATATCCCTCTTTTTGTAGTTTTAATTCAGTATGGAATGAGGAAGAGTTTAAGAATGAAATCAGAATGTGATAAGAAGTTGTTATCTGCTATAGTCCCCATCTCAGTTATTTAGAATACTCATGGAAAGGTTACGAAACTGATGATATTTTTAATCAATCTTTCTTAATTTGGTATTGTTTTGCCTTTCCACTGTTTGTTTTCATTGAAATATATGCAACTTGGGAGCAAAGCTGATGTATAGTGATGGCTGTGTTAAGATAAACTGTACATACCAATTAGTATTTGAACGTAAATACATGTCATATACATTTACATGTATCAACTGCTTCAGGTGTATTTATTTACATGCCTATTTTATACATACATGTAGAAAAAAAAAATGCAGAAATATGTGGACACACACACACACACACACACACACACACACCACACACACACACACACACACACAACACACACACACACACACACACACACACACAACACACACACACTCACTCACTCACTCACTCACTCACTCACTCACTCACACACACACTCACTCACTCACTCACTCACTCACTCATCACTCACTCACTCACTCACTCACTCACTCACTCACTCACTCACTCACACACTCACTCACTCACTCACTCACTCACTCACTCACTCACTCACTCACTCACTCACTCAAACACATACACACACACACACACACACACACACACACACACACACACACACACACACACACACACACACACAACACACACACACACACAACACACACACATACACATATATATATATACATACATACATACATACACACACATGCTTAAATACACACTCACTCACTCACCCATACGCTTACAAGCACACACTCACTCACTCACTCACTCACTCACTCACTCACTCACTCACTCACTCACTCACTCACTCACTCAAACATACACACGCACGCACGCACGCACGCACGCTCACTCACTCTCACTCACTCACAAACACACAAGTTTAAATGTGCATCTTTGTATTTACGCAAACACGTTTACATACTCTGTAAAATTCTCCATCTACACACTTGCACAATACATATATATTATTATAAAGTAGAGGTAAAATTATTGCTGATAATTATGTGCCAGACCAAGCAGTATGGATTTCCAGCTCTTTTAAGTAATGTTTTGTTTTGATAATAAATAGTACAGGAGATTCATATATTGTTGATATAAAGATCTGCTTAGGAAATGAAAGAAATTAAACCAAAGATTTTTTTTTTCTAACAAAAGAAAAACATGATTAAAATTGTTAATTTACTATCCATGTAATTGGAGTTATTTTTGTTATTTTGTTTTTATTGTTGACTTTTCTTCCTGGGAAATAGAGACCATTGTATGCAGTGTATCTTCCTATAAATGATCATGAAGAAATAAAATAACATAAAAGGCCATTTTATTATTTTTATTACTTTAAACCCAAAAATATAGTCACCCATAACAGTAAGAAATATAGTTGAATAATTTTATTACCTTGTATTACAATTTTCGAATAAAGGAGAAACTTTCATATTTAGAATTAAGGAACAATTAAAATTCTTTTCATGTGCCCCTCACATCTTTCAGATCATTCCTTCCTCGAGTTCGCAATTAATATATTTCCTGCTTCAGTATTCCTCTTTGCATGTAACTAATGACCTTCCAATTTTACAACTCTTATGCATGTTAAATAGTAAAATGGTAAAACCAAAAGTCTCGGTTAAAACAGGGAGTAAAGTAATCAAGTATTGGGAAAAAAAAACAATTGAGGCAAGTCACCAAGTTTGTTCACAACTATCTTGTTATTATACATTCTTTGTCCCAGATGTTGCCCAAAGTATAACCCTAAAAATCACTGTGTATAATATTCCTTATGAACTCCCATCTTAAGTTTTCAATTGCGAGTAAGCACTAACTGTGAATGTATTTCATGCAGGATAAACCAAAAACATAAAATGTGGTTCGTAAAAATGTATCTTATTTCCTAAATAATGATACAATTAAGGATAAGTGTAGAACAATAACTATATGAAAAAGTAAATTACAAATTCATTATAAATCATTACCTTTTACCAGTCAATTTATTCTGTGAAAGAAATTATGCTGGTATGTATTAGTATTCTCCAGTGCATAAAACATACCAAACTGTACCTTACAGATTTCCACACACTGTCATACATATTCTTTTTTCATCTCTTTTATTTTCTTGTTAGAAAGCTGTATTGCACAAGTAATAAAAAGGATAATAATATTCCTTTATGATGTGAAGACTATATATTGTAGCAGAGTTGTGACAATCTGATACATTGTACAGTATGGTTGGGAATCATATGTATAACTAAGTAGAAATGAACAAATGAACCTGAATATGCTTTCTGTACAATATATAACTCATTTAGGAGATCACTGGTAGAATGAATGCCGTAGCTAGATATTCCGTCATATATCATTACCAGAAATATGGCAAATAAAAATCACCACTATGCAATGGGCTTTTCATATTACCAAGCATAACAAGTCTCAGAAGAGGAAATAAAATCATGAACTTAATAATAACATCAATACAATTACACCATGACCAGAAAAAAATGCTGTTAAAAAATCTCATACTATTTGTCCAACTTCATACTTTTATCAAATAAGAACAACATATCCCATGTCTTATTTTGTTAAATTATTTGTATATAAATGATTGCATAATTTCTTAATCACTGGAAAATAACTACAGAACTTCAGTTATAAGAAAATACCTTAGTATTGACAAAATGGCAGAAAAAACACTATCCATTAACAGGAGAACAACTTCGACATCGCTCAACTTTTATCTTTTGACTCGAAGACTAAGTTTAGGATGATTTCAAACTTGTTAACTCATCTTCCAATAAACCTATTTTGCTAAAAGTGTTCAATGCTTGCACCTTTACTTAACATAACCAGGAAAGGAGAAATTTACACATCATACAAATCTGGGGGTTACTAAGAAGTTAGCATTTCCAGAACTCCATATGCACAATTCTGTGAAGCTATTATTCGCATCTAAAGGATTTACAAATTTTACATCTAACTGATTGCATTAAGTAAAGAAAAAATCCAACGCACAGGAACTTTCAACCAGAATATGAAAGCATTTGCTCAAAAACATTATATCAAGTCCGTGCTCACTGGCTACATTTGATTATCATTATCCAAAAATTAAAATATGTCAGTAAGCCTTCCTATTCCTTCACAAACTAAAACTTAAAGCTTTTCATTTACAATGCATCACCGAGAATGTATGTGTGCGTAGGTATATATGTATATCTATAAAGGTATATTTGCTTCTACATATACACAAAGGCATTTAATCATACTTACATTCAATAACACATAATACACCCATACACTCATATATACTCACTCATAAACACAGAAAAGCTTGCATGTATATAAGCACGTATGGTCATAAGCAAACAAAC